AATCGATCTGCACACAACAAATTGCGATTGCATTGTCGAACTTTGGGCTTCACACATATACATATATGTACACCTTCATATGTACATAGAGATATACTATATATGTATATATATTCACGATCGGGCGTATCTGGGCGTCTGCTTCCTGCCGGTGCACTTGGCACTTAACACTCGGCACTCGGCTGCAACTCGGGTTCATTCAAATGCCCGATATCGGGGCTGTAAATGAGCAAACAATTGCGCTTTGTCAAATGACATAATCCCCCATAAATATTGTATAAACAATATGGAATTGAGTTCTATCTGCTGCAGTTGCTGCTATTTCTGTTATTTCTCTACTGTCGATGCGTCATAAGACGGCGTGAAATGTAAGTCACTGCACTTGAAGAAAAGTCACCACGCGTACTCCACTTATAAGTCCTGTAAACAAGTGAGGAATTATATATAATAATATTAATAATTCAAAACTGTTAAAGAAATGTGAAATGTTTAGTAACTGAAATTGAACTTAAAAGTGAAAATAATTAATATATATATATTTATTAAAACATATAAATAGGGTTTCCTTAATTAAATTTTTCTTTTATTTTTTATAAACTTTGAAATTATTGTGCATATTTTTTTCCGTGTGGGGATAGACAAAAGAATGGATTGTGGGGGAATTACTTGAATAACTGAGCTAGTTACACCACCGTTACAATAAGCTGTAGGCGTGACAAGTAAAACAGCAACAGCAGCAACAGCAATAGCAACAGCAACAGCAACAACAGCAATAACAACAGCAACAACATCAGCAATCAGCTGCTGATACAAATTAATTACGACGCAGACAGAGCGCAGACGACAACTGTCTCATATATACACACCACATATACATATATACAAGCATATATATAGACATATATCGCGTGGGGAGATCTCGGCTTGACATTGGCATCTCTCGGCAAGAAGGGAAGCCAGCCAAGTGCCCGGCAAACCGGCAGAGCAAGTGCCGTAATCCGAGATACCGCCACCGATCTCGGCATCTTCGCAGCTGCACCATAAAATATATATATATATCTGTATAGTATATATGTATGTACATTTATGGTTATAAAAAAAAAAACAAAATGTAAAACAGGAAGTAATCGGTCTCCTTTGCATGCGAGCGATTTACAATAAATAATTATGATAATGTTGCTGCTTTTGCTGCTGGCAATGTCAGAGATGAATCTCGAATCTCGAATCTGGAATCTTGAATCTCGAATCTCGGGCAATGACACAGCTAAATCGACAGGAAGGAAGTGTTTGCACTTGTTAATGCCGCCACTCCAGAGACCGGAACCCCGATCTCCGATCTCCGATCTCCGATCTCGGATCTCTGAGCTCGTATCTCCAACCTCCAATCTCCGATTGCCACCACGCCCACCGAGCAACATGTGCATCAGGAGCAGCAGCAGCAGCAGCAACATCATCATCATATCGGCAACACCTTCGAATAAAAAATAGGAGGGCGGTGTTGGAGGCGTGGCAAAAGCAATATCTGCCTGTCATAAAAGTCAGAACCTGAGCTATCAGTTAAATCAGCAAATGGAGTGCACTAAAATAGGGATTTAAGTGCCAAATACTTGGAATAAATATACAAAAATCAACTGGTCAGCGATATCCATAAAAATTTTAACTAGACATTTTAATTACAAAAAGTTGTTAATGAAAAATAAGATAGCAACTGAATGAAAAATATAAATTATAAAAGAAAAACATAAATTATTTATATAAAAATTTTTAACATACATTCTACTAAGCTTTAAATATGCAAAATACAGAATACAGTTTTTTCAATAACAAAGTCACCTTTCTGTAACTTAGAAATAACACTTTAAAAATATACATTTGTTTACTGAATAAATACTGCAAAGAATGCCTAAAAATCAAGCAACTTAAGTCGCGGCCTAATGTCAAAACAATTTATTCAAACTTTGCGAAGAAACAAGTAAACAAAGGTTCCAACTTTTTGGCTTAACCACGTCGTTCTCAAAACATTTCCACCGCACCATTAAAGCTCTTTCGCCCACAAAAGGGATTTTTCAACTTTCTTTTTGAAGAACACTTTCCCTTTTCTTTTTTCTTTTTCCTTTTTTTTTTTTTTTTTGGCGGGGTCCACAGATGTCGTTCGGCAGTGTTGTTCTTTTGAGTTTTATGTGCGAGTGTCTGTCTTTATTTGACTTTCTGGCACTCTTGTTCGGCTACAATTTCGTTGTTCGTTGTTCGCCCGTCTTGAATTTCGTCGCACTTGGCGTAAAATAAAAACGAAAAAAAAAAATAATAACAAAATATAAAACAAAAAAGGAAAATTATCGAAGGGGTTTAAGACACTGGTCCAAGTATTTGTGACATTCGAATTTCAAGCTGGTCAGAGTGCAAATAATTCCTGGAATTGCTTGCATTCCTCAAACATTATTATTGTCACTCCCCGCACTCGTTATCGAACACTCACTGTACCCGTAATTATGCCACCGAATATTCCCAGAGAGAGAATTTTATTTTGTGCCAAAAAATGTTCACCTGAACATTTTCACATTGTGTTTCGTTTTTTCCCTTGGCGATTTTTTATGCTGTACAAGTTAATGGTAAACAAATAGTAAAAATGGAATGCTCAAATTTTGGCCATTCAGAAAACAGTTTACCATCAAAGAGTAAATATTTCGGGGAATCAAACGATTACCAAGTCAATGAAAAATAGTTTGCAGATATTCCTCATTAATAAAAATACTAAGCACTGAATAAACAATGTGAAAAACTATTTGATTTGATTAATATTAATGGGGCATTTATTTCCTGAATATACATTGTACTATATATTCTTTGTGTAATTAACTAAAAAGAAAGCTGTAATTCCAATTGATTTAAAGTTGAAGTACTCCGTGTAATTGGACCGATACAGTTTACGAGCTTAGTGGAATTTGTCCGCAGTATCATTATATGATTATTGCCCCTGTGGCGACCTTCCCCTCCCCCTTCTCCTCCCCCTTCCCCTGGAATCGCCCGCATGTTTTTCCCTTTGGAGCGGAAGCCACCAAACAAGCGGGATTCATGCGCACATCATCATTATCATCGGGCGATTATTATGCATTATGTGTGCCCCGATTACCATCTCCGTTTGTCGGACGGAGGGATTCCCGCTGTTCTACAAGAGGAATGGGGGAAGGAGGAGTGGAAGGGGGGGGAAATACTGGCGGGGAGTTGGTAAGGATAAGCGGACTTTACGCAACTTTGCACCATGAGCCCGCTTACATGGCCCATCACATGATTATGTTCATGAATTGTGTGGGATTACGAAGTGAATGCGAGAGCGGCAATTGATTATCTCAATTTTGAATATTTTCAGGGGGGGGGAATAATATACATATAACGAGCACCTACCAAATTAAACCATATATTCAACAAATTAAAATGGGAATACACTCTGTAAACAGCATCCGAAGATTAGTATGTTTTCCATGAATAAATGTATAAATAAATCATTCGAAATTAAATGGAAAAGAAAATTTTTCTATAAAAGAGAACGGATTGTAAAAGTGCTCATTAAAAGCAGAAACCACTTAGTAAATACTTAATTTAGATAGCTTCCTCCGCAAATAGCGAAATTGCACTTATCACACTTTTCAAAAGGAGCAACTTGACAGAGTTTTGGCCAAACTATGTAACAGGAAATCTGCTCAACTTTAATAGCTCATACGCCAGATACTCGGATAGCTTTTCCCCCCTCCCCCTCTCAATTCACTTTTCCTGATCCACAAAGTCAGAGGGTTTCGCAGAGCCAAAGTTTGTGAAATAGCTTGGAAAATAAGTTTTGTTGAGCGATGATAAAAACTGACAAACAACTTGATACATTGGATAAGCACTTGGCGATGATGGCAGTTGACGGGGTCGAGGGGGGTTAAATAATTGAAGAAGTGGGGAATCGGGGCATCGAGGGGATCGGGAAATTGGAAAAGCGACAAGATGCTAATTAAAAGCGGCGACAAATTGAATCAAAGTCAACTCGAATTGGTTAAGTCAAAGTTAAGCCTTGCACGATTTTCTCACAATCTAGCTTTAAGTTTTTACCCACTCCATAAAGATATGTTTATTTATATATATATATATGATATATAGATATATATATCTGTTTTAAAACCGCTCTCCAAAAGCCAGACAAACAGCCGCCAACGATTATCGATGAACACAAAGCCAGCTAAAAACAAAACTTGAAATTTATCACCGAAAGATTCTTGAACTCGTCACTAAGGTCGTCAACTGTCCCCCAGTCACCTGCCCCACCACCTCACTACCCCCTCCCCCTTTCCCCCCTCCCCAGAAACCCCTTTGATCCCCCCTTTTGGCCCCTCGATCGGAACTGGTATCTCGGCGGTTGCTGACTGATTGTCTGACTGATTGATCGCCCGATCATTGATTGATTAACTCCGGCTCTCGCTCTTCTTACACAAAGAGAAACGTACTCCAGTTTATCAATATTATCTCGCTACTTTACTTGATAAAATATAGACAATCTCTTGCAATGTTGCTTACTAATTATAATGAAATCATTTTAAGTGTTCTGCTTTAGCTTGATCTATTAATAAAATAATTTAAACATAAAACAAAAGTAAATTTTTATTTGTTAAATTATTATTTGTTTATTTTCCTAATTGATTATCATTTCATATCAATATATACATACTATATCATATAGTTTAAATTTAAAATATACACAATCTTTTGCAAATCATTTTGTTAGTTAAATTAAAATGATTTTAATTGCTATTGAACCCCAATTAAATGAGTTGGTTTTGTAAGCAATACAAAAAATGTATATTAAAATGAATTAAAAATCAACTAAATCTATGAATACCAAATTGAATATATATACATCAGATGATACGGTTTTAATTAGAAGTGCAAGAAAATTCTCACAGTAAGCCCCACTATTTTTCCACACAATTTAACTGAGCATTTTCCCCCACCTTCCATCGTTGCAGGCATGTGGCAGCCATGAGGCAGCAGCGTTTTAATCGCTGCCAGCTGTTATTATGCCCGGCCACTTGTTGCAGGCATTCATGATGCAACTGCGGCAACAGCAAGCGGCACAACGAACTCGATTCAAGTCTTTGGCGGGCCTCAACCAAAAACACTCATACGCCATGTGGGCGTTCGGAGGCGATCGGTGGATGATGTTGCATGAACACCAGATAACAACAACAATAACAACAACAACAACAACGACAACAGCAATCGCAACGGGCGCCACAATGGCCCACGGCCAAGGCTAAGGTGGCTATTCGCCACATCCACAGCCACAGCCACAAAAAGCCAGAAGCAACAGCAGCAGCAGCACCACCAACAAAATACTAATACAACCACCATTGCCACCAGCCCCTACAACAACAACTAGAACAACAACTAGAACAACAAAAACAAGAAGGAGAACAACAAAAAGCAACAACGACAAGAACAACCAACTGAAACATCAACAAAAGTTGAAGAATTCCGTTGAACTCAAACGAAACAAAACATCAACAAAATGTCTGAGGTAAGTTTACGTTACACAGAGCCAAAGGTCTTGTCAAAAGGCAATGTTAAATAACAGATTAGGAACTTTAAAAAAAGTTTATTTCAATGTAGAAAATTATAATTTGAAATAAAAATTATTAATTCATTATAATAATTATACTTAGCTTTGAATGAAATGGATAATTTCTTTAATTAAAATCAATTTGATTTTGACTGTCAACAGTTTTGATTTAATTTATAATAAACAAACTATATACATTTTCGAGATCTTCAGTATTACTTTGATTTACTGGTTCAATAAATATAAAATTGATCAATTTTCAATAGAAACACGTTTAACATTTACATTGAAAAAAAAATATATATCGCCTTATGTTTATTATTATATTTATATTATATTACATCAAGTCTTTCATATTTTTAACATTTTCGACATGTATATGTATGTATATTTTCATGAAATTTGAAAAAATTCAAAGTACAGATTGTCTTCCTTTATTACCAAAATAGTTCCATCTTGACCTATAAGTTGCAGTGTGGCTTTAATGATGATTAAGAGGGGGCGGGGCAAGTGGTTCTTTGACGCTGCCTTTTTAAAGAGCCGGGGGGTCAGCATTTCCATTTTTATTGAATTAAAATCGATTTTCAGTTTATTTTATCAAAAGACTTAAGAGCATCAAACACATTAAAAGCAAAAAACCGCACACACTCTCGCAGAGACAAGAATCTCCTCCTTTGCGGGGGTGCTTGTGTGTGTGTGTTAGTATGTGTGTGTGAGTGTGTTCAGGGAATAAAACAAGAAGATGGTGCTCTCACACACACACAAAGTCTTGAACTATAAACTTATATAAAAGTGGGTGATTGACAAGGGGAATAACCTGCAGTAAATGCTTGATAAAAATCGAATGAGCAATTCCTGCCAAGGAGATGCGAGTAAATGGCTTTCACTGAAACTATTAAATATCAATATAAAATATGAGTTGGGTCAAAACTAAAAAAAACAAAACTAAAATAATAAAACAATGTATAAAACAATGTATAAAAAATGTTCATTTAACACATTTCCTTATATACTTTGTTTCATATTTAGACAAATGTTTAATTTGTGAGAGAATATTCTATTCTTGATTCTCAGATAATATTCTGTTTTCAAGAATAGAATAATAGTATTCCTGCTTTTCTATTGCTTCACAAAAAAACATAATTATAATATTTATAATTAAAGTATTTTGTAAACAGATTACATTCCTATAATATCCAGGAATAGTTTATGTATAATTTCACATTTTTTTATTTTCAACTTTAATTTCATATCCCATTCACAATCGGCTCTTGACCTTAAGATAGTATTCTCGTTTCAAGATTATTTGTAGTGAATTTTTGTGGAGCTGCGTTCCTTGGGTTTCGCATTTCTTTCGCTGCCCTTTCCCTTTTTTTTTACTTAACTACAACTTCCTGCTGGCATTTCCCGCATAGGCATTTGAATTTTGGGTCACTGACGTCGTCATCGTCATCGTCTTCCTCGCCGTCGCCTCATGTTTATGTATGCGTGGCTATATGGCGGCTATATAGTTATATGGAGCATACCTACGTGGAGGTGGAGGGAGGAGGGAGGGGGGAAGGGGAAGGGGAAGGGAGCATCGTGAGCAACAGGCGGCGGTGGCAAGTAAAGAACAAGTCAACCAAGCAGCTGTCGCCATAAACAAGCACGGAAAACGCCACTCGCACACAGACATAAATATTGACCTAATTTGCACCTGTTTACAAATTCATTCGAGCCACTGCCGGAGCTCAGAGCCTGAACAACACACAAACCAACTCACCCACCCATCTAGCCACCCATCTAGCCATCCTCTCTTCATCCTGCCACTTGGCTCGTTGTTGCGTCCTGGCAGGACTTTGTGCTTTTGGCGCATGATTTATGCAGCAAACGGAGCGCGACAACCTCGACAGCGGCTCCATCGCGAGCGCTCCTAAGTGGGTCGACCATGTCCACATCCACATTTACAGGCGCACAGCTACATCCACGTCCACATCCATGCCATGTATTCCCACATCCACATCCACATCCACATCCTCATCCACATCCAAGTCGCAAGGAGAGCCAAGCCCAGGCGATTCGAGTTGAACCGAACATGCCAAGCTGCATGAACGTGTTCTTACACTGGGAGAAATCAAAATGAGAGAGCTTACAAATTCACTTATCAATATTAAAGATATTTTTATGTATTGTTATATCCTACAAATAAGGTTTCAACAAGATACCTTTAATCACTTTAACTCTTTTTCTTCTTTAATTCCTATATTTGATAACTGCATTTACAATATGCAATTTCTCTCACTGCTTTGGCTTCTCGGTTGGATTGTTGGTTGGCATGTTATTAGGGAGCAAATTTGCATTTGGAAACCGCCCGTTGGAGGGAAAAAGTTTTGCTGCGGGAGCAACAAATTTGCAAATGCGAAATTCGATGTTATTCGGCGCTGGCTTACGCGGCGTATGCTTGATCTGTGAGGAATGACAAGATAAAGCCACGAAATGAAAAGAAAAACGGGGAGTCGTAGGCAAACGAAAGCGAAGGCAAACTAGCTTTTGATGACATCTTCAAACAAGATTTTCAGGGAGAAAAAATAGAACGTGGCTTTCATATTTTATTTGCCAAATGTGGGATATTAACTAAAATAAATATTATAAGTAAATGTGAATTAAATTTACCAGGAAGAGTTTAAATTTAAATAATAATACTATCAGCAGGAAATTTACACATTTCATTTACTCAACTTAATTTACTCCAGAATAAATACTAACCTTAGTTACTTCAAAGGAGTAATACAAAATGCCTAAACAAAGTGGAAACCAAGTGGATGATGGGACACTCGAAGCAGGTTTCCATTAGGACACTTCGGACTCCGTCAGAAGTGAGTTAATCCCGCGAAGAGTCTGAAATCGAGAAGCTTAGCTGGGGCGAGTGGGCAACTTTAATTGCCGCGTGCACCAGTTGCGGATTAGGAGCACTCGAAACGCGATTCAATCGAGGACTTAATGAGTGCCTTGGTCATTTGCCTCGACTCGAGGCGACTCGAAGTGATTCGAAGTGAGTCGAAACGACTTGAATCGAGTCGACGAACGATAATGATGATGATGAAGATGGCGTCTGGCAATTAGGCCGATTTGCCATCAACTTGTCCTCGCCCTGACATTGCCATTGAATTATCCTTATCCTCGTGGCCATTCCATCTACCCATTTTCCTAGCCATTTTCCTAGCCATTTTCCCCAGCCATTTCCACTCTGGTTATTTTCATCGTCATCATCATCGCTGCTTGTCTTTGACAGCTCGAATCTGTTGTTGTTCGGGCATTGATTTCCCTTGATTGATGCGTTTTTAATGAAGGCGGAGGGCCAGGTGCCTCGAATCATTAGCGCGATTTTCTCCACACCCATTTACTCTACTCTACTCCACTCCCCTTCCCTCTCCTTACCTTTCCTCTGCTTTTCCTTTATTTTTTTGTTTTACCTGGCAAGACAAACAGTCAGCCCTGATCCGCAATAAACTAAATGAAAAATAAATAGTCAATAACAATGGGTGAAAGTGTGGGGAAGTTTGTGTTGTGTTGTGTTGTTGTGTTGTGGCAGGAGGAGGAGGAGGGAGAAAGCAACCAGAAGACGAAGAAAGTGTCGCAATGTCGTGGCCTGAAATTGACACAGCACTAAAGTTACGACGAGCAAACAAAAGTGGCCAACAAGCAAGCAGCTGCGGGCCAGGTACGCAAAAATTGGTAAGGGGGAAACTGTGGAAAATGGGAAAACAACTGGACGGCAGGACAACTGGCAAACAAACGTGAACCTTGTACAAGCATACACCAACACACACACTCACAAAAAACATAGAGCCAAAGGACATGCTCCTGAAAGTATGCCATAAAAAATATTGTAATCACAAACTTTGCAACAAAAAAAAAAAGGAAAATAACCCAAAACGGTGCAACATGAAACGGAGTAAACTAACACGTTTCTCCGCCAACTTGTCGCATTCAACATGCACAGCAGGGTTTTCATTAAACAAAACAAAAAAAAAAACAATAATAGAAATAGCTAAAAACACGACAACATCCTTCCGATTAAACCCCTTTTTTAATTTACCGAAAATTGGGTTTGCAGAAAAAAGAGACCCAAGTCCAGCTTTTCAGGGGACAAAACATTTCTAATTGAAGTTCAATTTTCACTTCCATTCTCTAACAAACTGCACCATTAGTTAATTTTTTATTTTTTGGTATTTTTTTTATTTAGTTTTAGTGATGTAACCCCTTTCTGAATTTCCAAAAAATTGGTTTGCTGAAAATAGTTTTTGTTTTTAGTTGGAATTCGATTTATAAGTTATAATTTGCTGTTGATATTTATGAAATTTATCTGATTCAGATCTCTCTCTCTCTCTCTTAATAAGTTTTCATAAAAGCTTTCCTCGTCAAAACCCCTCTAAAACAATGGGTATCGTACTTATCGTTGTCGAAGGGGAGACCGCAATCAGGGATCTGGGCTGGTGACCAGGTTCCCCTTCTCTATCTCAAGCCAGACTTCTAATCTCCAATCGGCAAACCTTCAGTGAACCGCAATCTGTTTGCGAAGCCAAGTGAAAGGTCAACAGGACCCACTTTGATTACATCTCAAATAGGGAGTCACAGTTTATCGCTTATTGTTTGAAAAGAGTTGGTACTTTCTGAACTTGTTAGCTTCACACAGTTAAAACAATGTTTAATTTGTAAACTTTTTTAATACACAAGTTATGCTCTGATATTGTTGGTTAGTATTAAAGTTGAATTTAATCGGAATCATTTAGTAACTTAAATGGTTTATGCTAGTGAAATAAATGATACTGTTGCTGCTGTTTCACTACACAAGAAATAGTTATTTCTTTTATGGTGATATTAATATACAAATAATTATATGAAACCTTCGAGAACTTTCTGCCTTTTGTCACCTTTTTGTGCAAAGTGGCTTAAAGTCGTCATCCAGCCAAAGGCGC